GAGTTATTTTAGAGTAATGCCACATTTATGTTAAATATAGAGAGATCAGCTCCTAATTTAGAAGCCAGAACTTTGTTTCAAAAAGTAAAAAGACTTCATTGCTAAGGTATTAATCCATTTTGCAATCTATTCTTTAACCTTTTTTTTAAAATTCAGAGACACACTAATGAACTTCAGTTAAAATACTAAGTTTTGGTAATGATTCAAAAATATTATTATGTAAACCTACAATTGAGAACATTTTCTTGCAAAATTTCTTCCACAAATGAAAAATATAAAAATAACTCATGTTTATATTCTACAGGTACTTCCGATTTCTCAAGAACTTGACAATTTAGAAATAATGTAGAAAATAACTGGTGATACAAAAGAATTCTCCCAAATTATTTCACTATTATTTCATAATAATATATTTCATAAAATAAACAATTTTTTATTGTAACCAAACCACAAAAAGCTCACATTAAGAGAAAACATCAGTTGTATAACATGGTTTTGCTAAACCTCAATAATCTTTTTTTTTTTTTTTTTAAAGCAACGAGTAGTCAAAGAAAGTTGTTAATATTAACACAGATAATGGCAGAAAACTACAGAAACTCCAAATACAGAAAGGCTGTTCATGTATCCTAACAGCATAACCATTATGGTTGAAAAACCACACAATATTCTTTCTCACATCTGTTTTGTTAACGAGCCAAGAATGGGGGTCTATTGGGTATCCTAGACAACTGAATTAGAAGTAGGAATGTCTGGTGAATACTGTTTATCCCAACAAATGAAGACTAAATAGGTTTGGGAAGGATACTATTTTTAAATTATATTTTTAGTTTTATTTTCCCAAAAAGAGAACTATCACTTGCCTTATTCTCTCACCTATTAAAAAAAAAAACAACCTATAAATTACTTTACATTCTAGTTTTAAGTATTATAAGAGAAAATGTTTTCTTAGATTAATGAAATGTTTATCTTTCAGGTAGACCCTCAAGTATTTAAAGACTATAAAAATCAATGTGAAAAAGATGCTTGTAATATAAACCAACATAGTATTCAACCAGAATACAATAGTTTATGACAGTTTGGCAAGAATTCTATTCTGAACTAGGGTTTTTCCATATACACAGAGGACTCTTCCAGGAAATATCCCCTTTACAGGGCCCCAGGCCTCTTCGCATGCTATCAGGCCAGGCTTATAGAACCAAGCAAACACAATGTTCCCACTGGAAAACACAAATTAAGATAAATTAAATCTAAATTGACAACACAGTACGTAAAAATCTCCAAAAGAGCAAAAGGGTGTAGCAGCTTGAAATCATTTCATTCATTCTAGCCTCTTTCCTAATTACTTAATTCCTTAATTTTTAAAAATAGATTTACTAGTTTAAAATTTGGCTTAGAAATTTAAAAAGTGATCAGGGTGATGGAATCACAGATAATTTTTAAGGGTCTTTATCATGTTAATTAAATTACATTTGAGGGTTACCTATATGTTTTTTCTTCTTTAGTCTTCATGGAGAAGAACAAAATTGTTTCTTGCCTCAAATTCTAAAACAAAGCAAAATAATCACCCATATTTTTGTAAGTCCCACTGCCAATCAAGAGCAGCAAATACTAGAAAAACAATTATCATGGCCACTCAAGAGCAGCATAACGTAAAATTTAAGTACCAACCAAGTAGAAAAACCTTTTCTATGTCCAAAATTCAGGTTCTCCAGACAGAGCAGCATTTGACACTTTTTTCTTCAAGACAAAAATCTACAAGTGAGAAAACTTACATTCCAAAATGATTAAAAAAGGATTATTTTAAATACTAAACTGAGAACCTAATGGCATTATATATTTTAGTAATTTGAGTCCACAACTTCAATTCATCTCATTCAAATCTAGTTTCCATATATGCAACTTCTGTTCCTTTGGAACTTGTTCTCAAATGATTTTTCTAGATTTTTATTATTAAAGAAATGTAGAGGCTTAAGACTACCATGCAGATATAAAAATATCATTAACAAATACGGTCTACTCATTCCTTGTAAAAGACAACTATGAAACACGTCAAATCACTTTGCAGATCATTAAAGTAACAGTGTTTTTCTTTCACTGTAGGTAAGTACATATCCTTCTGCCCTAAACAGTAGTCTGACTTTACCTAAAAATACAGACTAGAATAGTAAGGTCCTAAAAAATTGCTACTCATGAGAACTCCTATCTCAATTGACATCTCTGCTTCTTCTATTCATACTTTATTTGGAGTTAAAACTTAATGCTTTTAAGGGTGCCTCTGTAGAGCATGCAACTCTTGATCCTGGGGTTGTAAACTCAACCCCCACATGAGGTATAGACATTACTTAAAAAAAAAAAAAACCCTTTGTAAACAAAAACAAAACATATACTTTTAGTCCAAATGTAACTAAACCATAAAAAACAGGGTTTCATCAGAAGTACCCCTAGGCACAGATGCAAAACTACTGTATATTTAAAAACCAGTTGTGCCACTTTTCTGGTGAAATCAAAGTTCACATAGTACTAAATCAGTACATTATAGAGAACACCCTTAAAAGTCACTTAAAATATTATATGCAAAAAGGAAGGACAAATGTTAACTTTTAGGGAGAGACAATTATATAGTATTTGTATCCTAAGTCTTCCAATGTAAAATATAAGTATATGTATCCACCCAACAACTAGCATTTAAAGTATCTTGTCATAATTCCTAAGAATATACACACAAACACTTCAAAAAAAATTGGTACAAAGATCCAAAATTGACTCAAAAGACTATCAGAGAACATTAATGTCTAAAAAAAATTTTTTAAGTAATCTCTACACCCAAGTTGGGGCTCAAACTCACGACCCAGAGATCAAGCATCACATGCTCTACAGACTGAGCCACCCAGGCTCACCTATATTTAAAATTTTTAAACCAAAATATGTACCTGTCAAATTATTTTCTTTTTAATGACTTCAAAGTAACCTCCACATCCAAGGTGGGGCTCTAACTCACAATGCTGAGATCAAGAATCACACACTCCATTGACTGAACCAGCCAGGTTACCCCTATACCTGTCAGATTCCTGATTTAAAACTTAGTTGCACATTTTGCCCAAGTATGCTTTCAATTTCACATGCAGCAGAACAATTACATGTAAGTCTCAGGAAGAATGAAAATTGTTTTTGATGATGACAATCTTGAGCCAGACTATATTTTTATCTTCATTACTAGAGTTAATCATGTATAAACTTCACTGAAGAACAAAGTTTTGAGTTTCAAGATATCTAAGATAACATAGACATTATCTAACTCCACCTCCCCGGATGTGAAGACAATTTAATGTTTATAAATTGAAGCAATAACACATGCAAAAAAGACATAAAACTTAACTATAGCTCAAGAATTCATAGGAGCACTTACTGAATCATACTTGGCTACTTGGACCAGCTGGCTATGTGGCTGGACTTCAGAAATATTTTCTAAGATTTTGTCCATACACTGAGGCATAATTTCATATGAAAAACCCAAAGCAGAAAAAAAAACTTAAAAAAAATTGAACTATCTTTAAAAGTCTTAGGATAATTAATAAACTGTCTAACTTGCATGTTTTGTTTCCCAGGCTTGACAAAAGGACAGTTATGTAAAAGTTATCTATAGCTCTAGATTATCATATTCACTAAACAGTACAGTAGAAAACTAAAAAACAAAGGCAGGACATAGTTTCAGAAATACACAAACCAATAATTATCAAGTAAAAGTCTAAAACTCTTTACAATCTACAAAGTTTCCCTTAAGAAGATATGAAGACCACAATTAAATGAGAGCAAGCAAAAGAGAAATGGGAGAACCTGATAAGAGAAATTTCATATAATAAAACTTGTAATAAACCCCTCTTCTCATCCCATCTCTGCAAATCCTAAGTGCTGTTTGCATCTGCTGACAATTATACTTCTTAACCTAATCACAACAAGCCCTTTATCATCATTATGTCACTGGTTTCCTCTATATTTAAGTTTTTCTTATGCTCAAGCATCTCCCAAGTTGGCAAAATGAGATATGAGATTCAGGGACTTAATGGTCCCATCAGTAACATGACGCCCCCTCCCACCAATATTTTGAAAACTAACTTATAAATCTGTTACCATCTGAATAAAGCATACTTTCAAATTAAACATATTAAGTAGCACCCTTTGGAAAGCAAACCGTTATGTAACACCTACTTTATGTCTCTCAATTAATTACTTGACTTGAGAACCATAAAGAATGTTTTTTCTTTTTTCAAGGTAAGTACTGCCCAGGTTGCAATTTTTCAAGACTGCCGTTTTCCCAAGGAGAGAAAGGATTTTTTTTTTAATTCCAAATTTCCAAGAATATAATATCCGCTTCTCTAAGGAATAGGGGCTGAAAAAAATATATTGTCAGCAATTTTAAGATCCACCTCCTCACGTAAGCTGTAATCTGGGCCGATATGACATTTCTGAAATCCTCAGTAACTACATACCACGCTGTCGCAAATATCAGAAGAGAAATCGGGGATGGACGAAATGCCATCTTGCATTTGACGTTGTACTAATACCTATCTCAAACTTAGCACTCCTCCGTTATGTCAATGTAGCTTCACAACTACCTTAAGAGGTAAGAGAGCTGACTGCCCAGCGCCTCCATGGGACACACAACCCGGTTAAAGGACGCGCACGCCGTTGCACCTTCAACTGGAATAACAAAACCGACGACAAACCCTCCTAAACTCCAGGGAAAAAAAAAAAGGAGTCGTCTCTCCTGGAGATCCCCAAACTTCAATCCTTTAAGCAGTGCCCCCTCCCCGCAGTTTCGCCTACTCAGTGGCCCCGGGGAACTGCGGCGGAGCTGCGGGGAGGCGGAGGAGGGGCCGCGCGGGGGGCGGGGGAGAGCCGCCTGGCCCGCACACACTTCTCGCACCTGGGCTGGGGCGGAGGGAGCGACGATGCTCTGGGGACACCCCTACCCACCGGGTCAGCCGCTCGGACTCGCTCACCTGCGGAGCCGATTTCCATTCATGGAGCTGGGGGGAGTGCTTCGAGCGAGAAGGGCGCCCACCACTGGGGGCAACGAGGCAGCGCAGGGGGGCGACGCGGCGCGACAGGCACCCTCGTTCGGCCCCGAAGCGAGGTGGTGACGGCTTCTCCTCAGCTACCGCACTCCGAAAGCTCTCGTCAGGAAGAGCCGCCGTGGGGAGGCAGCATGAGACTAGGCGAGAGAAGGAGAAGCGTGAATCGAGGAGAGGAGATCCCAGTGCGGAACTTGCGTCGCCCGCGGCCGCTTACGCTCCCACTGCCCCTCCACGACTGCGGCGCAGCCGCCGACCTCCCCAGGGGCCGCCCCCGGAAGCCCGCTGGCGTCAGTTCCGCTGCCCGGACTCGCCCGACGTCCAAGCCTCGCCTCTCCGCCCCATAGCCGTGCGGGCGCGACGTCGGTGCGGGCGCGGCCGGCGCGGAGGAGGCGGGGGAGGCGTCGGGGAGCCGGAGCCGGGCCTGGGCGGAGCTTGGGACACGCGCGGCGGGCGGGCCCTCCCACGGTCTTCAGCACGGCTGTACCCGCCGGAGACAACTCGGAGGGGCCGGACTCCTAGCACCACCCTAGTGCTGGGCGCTGCCGGCTGAAGGCGACTACGCTGAGGACGAGGCTGCTTACCTGGGGAGGAGCCTACCTGGAGCGTGGCCGGTCTGAGGTGCAAGGCCTGGACCTGCAGCTGAGAGTGACTGGGGCAGAGCACGTCTAGGGCAGAGCCACCCTCCTTAAGAAGCCCTTCCCGCCCCGCCCACCTGGGGCGGCACCACGCGCCTCCTCCTCAGCAGGCGGTCAAGTGACCACCGCAACCGATCACTCCAACTCCGTGGGTTGCTTTGACGACCATTTTGGGGGGCGGGAGGGGGGGTGTAATTTAGCTTGGGAAAAAGGATTAAGAGACAGGACATTACACAACACATGGGATAATTTCCTTGTTTGAAACGCTTTAATAGCGTCTCATCACGCTGAGATCACTCTTTCCCGGTGCCAAAACGCACCGCGTTAAGGGCCCTTCCTTTCTCCTCAAGCAAGACTTTTCCTCATCACTATGCTGCAGCTATACTGATCTGCTAATTCCCACAACAGGCAAAGCATTTCCCTTTCCGACTTGGCGCCCCTCTACTTTGGGTTCCCTTGGCCAGGAACAGAGCCCTTCCTCTCCACACTCACCTTTTCTTCCTTCTCCAGGCCCGCAATGCTTCTTTTTATACCTCAACGTAAGACTCATTTCAGAGAGGTCTTTTCCGGATCACTGAGCTAGGGTGGGAGCTCATTTTTCTATCACAGCATTTCCTTAATAATCTTAATCTGTAATTTGTTTTGCTTACTAGTTTGTGAACCCCCTCCCGCACTAGTTTGTGAGCTTTATAAGATTAGGATGGCCAGCACACTCGCTAGGAAATAGTAGGTCCTTCTTATGTTGCCTTAATGAGAGGTGATACTATTTAAGGCTGAAGAATGATTCCTGATTTTTGCCTATATCCCTAAACATCAGTAGAGACATCATTTAGAGTTTTAAAAATCAAAAGCTTGGGACAAAGGGGAACAGTAGAAAAAATATCCTATCTTCAGTTCCCCCCAATCACTGTGGGACTTTGGATCAGTCACTTAAAGCCTCTGGGCTTGTTTTCTTATCTGACAAATGGAGAGAAAAACGTATCTTATACGATTGTTATGAAGTTAGGGACTGTATATAAAGCAGAGAAAATCCTCCCTAACTACATGCTAGTGAATAAAAAAAGTTTACTATAGGTAACATTTTAAAGCACTTATTACATGCACCTATTACAATAAACATTTCATAAATGGAAGGTATTCAAACCTACATCGGACTTCATTTCTGCCTCACTTTCTTCTTCAAACCATTAACCCTTTCACAGAAAATTTCAATTTCAAAATATAAAATTAAATGTCACCAGATGAAACACTGTATCCTAAATTTTCAATACCTGACTATACAGAATCCAAATCAGTAGCAGCACCCCAACAGGGTAAATACCAACTCTTGTGCAAGATTCTATCACACCCTCACCTTCCCGTTCTGGAACAGATTCCCTAAATGACTGCAGGCTTCATTGTCATCTCCCAGAATAGACATGACGATGTTGATGAGCCCTTGAGGTAGGCCACTGTCTTCTTTGTTGACATCGATGAGGCAGGATTTGGACCTAGTTCAGTCCAATTTAATGTCAATGATGCCTTCCCATCTACTTCTGCTATTCAGGGACCTCACCCCTCTTTAGAGTGAGCCCATGTAAAAGGTTCATGAATTGTAGTATCAAGAAGTGGGAAGGTGAGAGGTGCAATAATTCTGCCAAAAGCAAATTGTATGAGCCTCTCCCCTGACCACAATGCATACCCTATTTTTGGATAACCTCATTCCCAAATGAGTTGGCCCTTAAGGCCATAGAGCAGCGTCTTTGTGTATCTTGTTAACTGTCATACCCCTAGTGCCTAGCCAATGTACCCCTGGCACATAGCTATATTCCATAAATATTTGTGGGATGGACGGATGCATGAGTAGACTTCCAGAATGCAGCTCAGGCTAAAACTCTGTCCTTATCCCTTGTGGCTCTGCTTGCTTTCAGAAGGGAGAACTATAAAATACTACAGACATCTGAGGGACAAGGAAATCCGTGCCCTCTGAAAGTTGCATTCCTAGGCTTCCTGTGCCAGATAAATAAACATCACTGGATGAGGAGAGCAACTGGCTAGAATCCTCAACTTGACTCAAGTTCAAATCTCTTCTCCTAGACCACCAGTTTTTGTTTTTGTTTTTTTGAGACCATCAGTTCTTACACAGCAGAAAGCAAGCTATTTTGTACTGCAGGAGAACACAGTATAAAACATGTTGGCCTTAGGGACAGAACTGAGACTGAAGGCCTGCTGCAACTGTATGTGATTGAAAGAAAGTCACTCTCTGAACTTCAATTCCTCATCTCTAAAAGCCAGAGCACCTATGCAAAGCAGACACTGCTGAATGCATACCCAGGAGCCCATATCCCCTTCTTTCTCGCCTAGCAGACAAAACTTGTCTTTCTAATCCACATGACTCAGAAGGTAACTCCTAATCTAAGCCACTCATGATAGATGATCTCATTTGCTTTGCCAATAGCAGAAGTGGGAAGATGACCCATTTCTAGTGAATGAGACAGGCCAGATCTGCTGGGACTTCCAAGGATTTCCTTATTTGCACTTCCTTCCTGGAATTACCGTAGCCACCTTGAGATCCTGAGGTGAACTATCATGAAGATAAACCAACAGAGAATAGTAGAGAAAGTGATTGCAAGAATCTGATTTGTTGGTGTGATCACTGAGCCACTGAATGAACCAATCTTGGAGCCATATTAAATTAAGACTTCTTTGTCATATTATAAGTTTCTGATTTAAGCCAGTTTAGTTGGGGGTTCGTTATGTGCAATTGAAGGTGATAATGTTATGTGATAAACTACTTCACATGAAAGCTGTGAAGATGTGATAACATACTATACAAAACATCTAGTCAAATACTTCAAAGTACCCAAGCACTTCCTCCTTTTCAGATCACATCCATTAACAAACCATAGGCCTTTTCCAAAAACATGGCTGGGAACTCCCAGTCTCTTCTAAGAGGAAAGAGTTCCTTGCCTTCAGAAGGTGGGGAAGAGGGACAATGGGTTCCCTAAAGCAGTCCCTCAAGGCTTCTTTGTCCCCAAAAGGCATTGCCAAGAGGATAGTGCTGAAGCTTCTGCAGTCTAGAACAAAGGGACAATCTGTTCCTACAGGGTAAGTAAGACACAATGGTCTAAAAAACCTTGACTATAGTAACCCAGGGAAGGTAGTTATTGTGCATAAGTGGAGAACTTTTAAATGTACCTCATCCCTAAAAAGTCCACTTTCCCAGTTCCTCCTTGATAGTTTAAAGCTGTCATGCTCTGCAGCTTCTAAGCTTGCCACATTTCCTCAGCCTATATAGGCAGATGAATAAACTGGTTTGAAAGCTAGAAACAAATAGGGAGAGATATTTGCTACAATTTGATGCTACTTTCCATTCAAGCAGTACAGGCAGCAATCTGGGGATGGCACAGGCCCAGAACTTGAAACCAGTCCTCTCTTTGACTACATAACCCTCTCATTTAGCCACCAAACCCTAACTGCCAGGAGATTTTGAGTTTTGCTAAGGCAAATACCCAACAAATACCCAGCCTCATTTTGCTCCAAGGAACTTCCTAGATAAGAACGTGCTATAGTATATGTGGCCAATTGACAGAGCAAAGGAAAGGTTGCTCAACCAAAACTAAAGAGGGATGTCCAAGGGATTAGGACAAGCTTTAACTTAAAAAAATAAAACAAAAACAAAACTTCAGCTCCAAGACCAGACAAATTAGGCTTTAGGTTCCCACTATCTTTTTCTCTTAAGTAGCAACCAAGAGCCAAATTCTGAAACCTTTGAATATCCATTTCCAAAACTGAAATTTATGATAAAAATGTGTCATAATGATCATCCTCCCACTTACTCTGCTAAATACTTTATTTCTGCTTCTTTGGGGGTCATAGATTTTAAATTTTATTTCAACTGGGAAAAATCTCCATGTTCCAATTTGCTCAAGTTCGATCAACCTTACTAACCCTTATTGCTGAAAAGGAACTGGGTACAGTCAGAATGCTCTCAAGGGAATCTGACAGGTGGTAGACACAGGTTAGCTTTGCAATTTGAAAAGTCACAACACTTGGCCTCCAGAGGAATGCTAGGCCCATTTATGTACACACTAGCTGCCACTGAAAATTTCTCACTGGGCTCTGTGCCAGAATCCATCTCTGAGCCATCTTCCTCCATTACACAGAAATAACAGTGCTCTAGCACTACCAGGGAGGAATGCCAGAACTTACATGCTTGACACTTGTACCATCAGCTTGAGGTACAAAACCACAGAACTGCCAAGATGGGGCAAGAGTAAGAAAGATGATGGTAATCTGGTTAAGTTTCTGCTTACCTGAAGAGTCACGAATGCTGAGTCCATCCTGTGCACTCAATATCACTTCTTGACTCCCCCCTCTGTATTCATGAACCCAAAAATTTCTAGATCATTTCAATTCTATTCACAAATATTGATCCCTAGATATATGCTATGGCCTTGAGATGACAGAAAATGAACAGAATATAGTTTTTGCTCCTAAAAGTTCACAGGCTCTGGGGAAAGCAAATCCTGAAAATAAATAGAGCAAGCCACTAAGTGCTATCAAGTGCACTGGAACATCATCTATGACACTGGTTAGGAACAAAATTAGGTTTGTTTATTTTATTCTTTTACAGTAACTCCTGAGGACAGGAGGAAGCTGGAGGTGGAGGTGGTGGTTGTGATGAACAACTGGGAAGTCCTAGTCTTAGCTTTATTTAAATTAGGTTTTTCCAAAGCTCATTTTCAAAAAATACTGAAAAATGACCATATAGTTGTAAGATCCCAAAGAAGATGGGGTGGAGGATGGTAAACTGAGTAGAAAAAAATACCTCCTCCTCACTGCAGTAGTTCATGTTGTTCATTATGCCCTTTTTGGATCCTATTCCATTCTCTTTTCTCCTACCTCATTAAGTAAAAAATATACACGGTATCTACTAGTGATCTGACTGTCTTCTTAGGTTCAATTTCCTGTCCTCATCCTTTAAATTGTGTTTCCCAGAACTGGATACCATGTTTTTCTCACTCTATTATTTTTCTAAGCTATTTTGTTTATGCCTATGGCTTTACCTACTATATATAGGAGTATGAATCCCATTATCTACAACTACAGTTTTGTAGTCTTCCCTGAGCCAAAATATAAGTGTTTACTGGAAACCTTAAAATTGTTGCCTCATGGGGACCTCCAAACTCCATCAATACAAGGCTAACTGTTTTCACAGAATTCACCACTTTCCTTCTATAGTCTCCCTTCTCCCCTAGTCTTGGTTAGAATGTCCCACTATACTCATTGCTCAAGCAGAAACCTGAGCATTAGCGTCTACTCCTCTTTCCCTTCCACCAACTACTAAGTGCTATTAATTTTATCTTCTGAGTGTCTCTCAAAAATCTTCCCTTTCCTCTCTTCACTGATGTATATATATAGCCTTATAGCCTTGTCTCAGTCCCTCATCATTTCTCTCCTACACCAGGGAACCATTTGGCCACTCATCTCCCTCCCCCACCACACACACACACCAAACTTAAGCTCCTTGGGGAGAGAGACATGGTTTTCCTTTTGGAATTATGTTTGCCTTCTCCCCTAACAATACTGCTGGACACAGTAATCTGCATGGTTTGTTGAATGAAGAATAAATGGAGGCCTTGTGAAGTATGATTACATACAATCTGTAGTTTCAATACTCTGGTATTGTTTACCCATTTTCCTCTAGAAGTAATGGTTCTGCTCTTATAACAATCTATTACTCTAACCTAAAATCTATCACATATAATTAATCCCAACAGTTTGCTTTGCTATTGGGGTGGGGGGAAAAGAGAGAGAGAGACCGCACTTTAGAAATAGAAGCCACTGTTGTCTTTATAAAACACAGAATTGTGCTGCTGCTGTTGCTTGCTTTAGAAGGAACTGTACATTACAGCTGCTGGGATAATTTTACAATGGACTGGACAAGGTACAGCTCAAAGCAGGACACAAACACAAGTCTCAAAGGGAAACAGATGCAAACAAGTACACAGCTGTGGGGCTTCAGGGACATTTCCCCATCCATGCTGGACTTGAAAGGGATAAAAAGTTTAGAAACTAAAGTGAAACCCAGAGTAGTCACACATGCCCACCAGATGGCTGCTAAGTGCAACATCACACACCAGTCAGGTTGGACTGTGCACAGGAAAGTCATTTCATTATTCCTTATTGCTACTACACCAGGGGACTCAGTGCATTCGACACATTGTCTTTACTTGCACAATCCTTGGAGAGTTTCCTATTTTCCTTTTTCAAGAAGGAACTTTGCCTTGCCCACTTTATTCTGTTTTGTTTTGAGTCCATTACCTGCACTCCCTCTCTTAGGCTCCCAAACAGCAGCCAGAGGTTCTAAGTCAGTAGGAATAGATTAAGGGGAGAGCACCAACCTAGCCTCTCTCCCTGCACAGGGAGAAGGCAAGTCCTAATAAAAGGGGGGATGAAGGATGGGGAGAGAAAACCAGAGAATCCTTTCTCCCCAATCTGCTTAGAAGGCTAAATAGGAAAGAGTGCCCTGCATATCCCTGCCATGATCAGACTTTAAGAAGGAAGGCATCCCAGCTACCATCCTAGATTAGCCTAGGCCCGGTAAATATAAAAAATAACTTCCCCCAATGTAGTTTCGAAAACTGCATTTTGGCTACTTTGAGAGGACTTTCCATCCTGAAGGGGAAGGAACTTCCATTCTTCCTTGTTACATGTGATGCCAAGTTTAAAACACTGCCTCACAAGCCTTGTAGATAGATAATCTATGGGCCAGCTAAGAAATCAAAATGTCCCCTTGGCTGCCCATCCTGAGTGCCAGCCTCGTTTACTAAATTCTGGACCCTCCCCCTCCCCCAAAAAAGACACCCAAAACTATCCAAGAACATTGTTGTTTAGCCAAAGAGAAGGCCGCAGAGGCGCTATCTAGTACATGGGAACCAGGAGCTTTTTAGGGAGGTTTCATACTTTTAGATACCTTCTTCTTCAACATTACTCTAAGCCTAAATTCCCATGAACAACAATAGCTCCAGGCTTATCCCGAGTTCAGCAGTAGCACCTCAACCCCAAATGGGTCAGACTGGACTGGAAAAATGATCAAAGAACAGTGCTCTTTACCATCTTTTATCCAAATTCTCTCCATTCTCTTCCCATCACTCTCTTATTCCCCTATGTCCATCCCCTTAACCCTCCAACCCTGGAAACCAAGTAGCTCAACTCTAGGATATCTTCAGAAAAGGGAGGCCCCCATGTAAGAGAAATGGGACCAGATTTAGAAAAAGCAATGAGAGAAACCAACTCCAAGGAGTGGACATGTGTGGAAGTTGTCAGAAGCCCCCTGAATTTCATGCCAAGTAGGCATGCCTGCTGAGTAACTTTGATGGCAGTCCAGCCCAGAGAGGACATTACTGGGCTTGGGGAACAGATACTTGGCCTTCTGTAGCCAAGAAGCTAAGCCTGACCTTGCTGGCTAACAGTGGGATTATCATAGCCATGCAGAGAATTCATCATCACATAGGCAGGCAGGCCAGCAAACAAGCTTAGTGAATTAAAAAATGGAAAGGGATTTCAGGGAAAGAGAAACAGAAAAGAGAGCAAAAAAGTAAAATGAAGGGAGCAAGAGACCTGTCCAAGAGGATGAGGCTGGGGTCCCCCCAATACTTCCTTAGAGCACAAGTAAGAAGCACCACTTAAACCAAATCCAAGAAAGCCAAAGCTTGTTGCTAACACCACTTCTCAATCTGCATGCACCATCTTTCAAATAAGAATAATCCTCAAGGTCAAAGTATTTTTCAAGTCTCAAAGATATTAAAAAAAAAAAATCAGAGCAAGAGGTCATTTTCTTGCCATCGCCCAACTGCTTTTCTTGCTTCTTGAACGGCATGTGCAATGCCAAAGAGCTAAAAAATGCATTGCAAGCCCCAGCTCAAAATCCAAATGGAGAGAGTGAGGCAAAGAGAGAAAAAGGAGAGAACATAAACTTGTTGTTGAGAGTAGGTGGCTGCCACCAGCTCCCTATGGATATTTGCAAATGCTGGTGAATGACTGGACCCTCCAGGAACAGTGCCCTGATCCCAGCCCCAAAATGCACCCAAGAAGAGAACATGCAGAGCCCATTGTCCCAAGAGAGCTCCCCTTCCCAAAGGGTGACTGAACACGAAGTAGACAGCATATGAAGGCGATGGACAGGGCAGATGGAGTGTTGGCATCACTCTCTTTAGGCACTTGTGTAAGGAATGTAGGCTCTCCAGTGAGCTGCCTCCTCCCAGAGCCCTCCGTTCTGTTCTTCAGCTGGGCTGTGCCCATGGGGCATCCCATACTGTAGCCAGTAGGAAAGAAGTAAAGGAGGAGTTACTCAACAGTCCTGATGCCTTCTCCATAATCAATGTTTGTGCTACGTTTTGTGAAGTTGCTGAACAAAGTAGCCAACCAGAACAGAACCTGGAATAGACTGTTTTGCATAGCAAATCTGGGTCTGTACAAGGGCTGCTGGGGAGGGGAAATGGTAGCTCTAAGCGCACAGGCCCGGATTCAGACCGGCCTCCAAGCCTGAGCTAGGTCTAAAGTGTCATGGCTTCATCACCAGATTGGGGTAAACCCAAACTCAGGCTCCTCAAAAAGAGGAACTTCCACACTGAAGCTGCAACTCATCCCAAGCAGTGGGACAGGAAAAAATGAACAGTTAAGGAAAGAGGGGGCCTTATCTCAATGCTAGTAGGCACCAAGCTAGAAACCCCCTACTTTTCCAGTTCTGCAAGACAGCAAACCCAATCTCTATCCAGGGAGACAAAAAACAAAAAAACAAAACAAAACAAAACAAAACAAAGGCCCATGCCACCCACTCACATGCCCTAGTGGGAAACTGGGGAAAATTCATTTGTGTAAACAGAAGCAATAGGGAGCAGCAAAATTCCCTAGCCTGTCCACAAGACACATTGGAATCTGGGATGAGCCAAAGTGTCAGAGGACAGTCCAGAGAAAGGGAAGATGCAACTTGCAGGAAAGAGTGCAGGGCAGTGCAGAGGACAGAGCCTATAGCAAGAAAAAGATATTATCTGCACAGGGGAAGGATAGAGTCTGACCTCCACCTTAGGGAGATAACCATCCCCTACCTAGCCAGGCCAAAGAACAAGTCAGGTACATAGTTCCTTCTGATGGCTCTATGTTTCTGGGATGTAAACTTATTGGGCATGGGAGGGATTTTCAGATTTTGGCAATAGACTCAAGTTATGGTATAAAAATAACATTTAGTTTTTGCTCTTTTTTTTCTTATTTTAGACCTAAAGATCATTTGTTATAAGACACCCCAGTTAAGAAATATTGAAACATAAGCAACTTGACCATCAGGGGAAAAAAAGAAGCCAAGAGTGAGAAATGCTATGACAGTAATTTCAGATCCAGGCAGGTGGGGAAATTGGGGGGACAGGAAGAACAGGAGGTGTAAATGGAAAGGCCAGGGGCCAGTCATCTCAGCAGCTCCAAGACTTGTCATGTCTGAAAGTGCA